ATTATTATTATTATTATTATTATTATTATATTGTAGCATTATTATTGGTTTTAAATTGTATTGTATTATAATATTATTATCAGTATTATATGTATATACAATATATTATATTATTAGCATAGCTCAATCGTTTAGTGATTCCCTAACCTTGAGTCAGGGCAGTCGAAAGGTGGAGTCAAAATGCATTCATTCTGTAGTGTGCCAAAGAGTTGGAAGCCTAAAGTGAACGCCAAGGAGGGACACCTACGGGGTCCTGAGAGGGGCAAAAGGGGCGGGGCAAAGAGCTCCGCGGCCGGGTCTCTTTAAGCCGCTGCTGAGGGGGAAAGGGGGCGAGGCCAGAGAAGGGGCGGGGCTAGGGACCGGCTAAAGGTAGCGGGAGGAGAGAGCGTGAGTCCAATTGTGGGAGTAGCTTCTTTTCCGGTCAATGGTGAGTTTCTCCTCCTAGGGCAAGAGAACGCCGGAGAACTATCCCTCGGGAGCGGCATTGTTTACTGCTTGCTGGGCTTATTAGAGGGTTGGACTTCAACTCCCAGAAGCCTCGGCCGTCTCGGCCAACGAGCGGGAATTCTGGGAGTTGAAGTTCCAAAGCCAAAGTTTGGGCTAGACTTGAGTGACTACGTCAAGGCCTCGCTCAGGATGGGCTCCCGTGCGCTTTGGACTTCAACTCCCAGAATTCCTCCCCATTGGCCCAGGCAGCGGAGGCTTCTGGGAGCTTGAGTCCACAACTGAGAAGGAATGTTTTCAATGCTATGGAATGCAGCGAGTTTGTAGTTTGACAAAGTCTTTCTCCTTTTCTGCCAAAGGACACGCAAACGACACCTCCTAAGATTCCATAACATTGAGCCAGGGCACCAAAGCGCATTAATTCTACAGTGTAGATGCAGCCTGGGTGACCCTTTCTCTGCCATGCTCTGGTTGTTTTTTCCCCCCTGTCTGGCCTACCTTGCAGGGTCGTTGTGAGGACAAAATGGCCAACTCTGCAGTGCCCTGACCTCAGATGTAGGTCTGAAATGTCCAATATTTTTTATTTTATGTTTTCAATATTTCGATTTTGTTTTATTATTGTTGTTGTTTGTTTTCAATATTGTGAGCTGCTTGAAGTCTCGATTAAGAGGGAAAGTGGGGTATAAATAAATAGAGTAAGAAAGGTGATGATGATGATAATGAAATTTTATATTTCTCCCCAAGGGGCCTAATAATAATAATAATAATAATAATAATAATAATAATAATAATAATAATAATAAGTGTTTCAGTGTAGCTTGTCACAAGTGAGCCTCTCTGGGGACATTTCAATTTCAGAAGGTTTTCTCCGACAAGGAATCCTCAGAGAGGGAGTCTCTCCCCACCTTTTAACCCAATAATAATAATAATAACTAATAATAATAATATAGTCTTCTGGGAGCTTTTCGATTTCAGAAGGTTTTCTCCAATCTGTCCGACAAGGAGGCAACAAAGAGGGAGTTTCTCCCCCACCTTTTAACCCAATAACAAAAACAACAATAATATAGTATTTCCTGGACACATTGTGATTGATGTATAAGTCTTTATGGGGTCTGTACACTGCCTTTTCCTTCAAGGTGGAAAAGGGGGCGTGTTTCATTCTGCCAGCGAGCTTTCTGACTGCCTTGTAAAGCAGGTTAGGCTGGAAATTGATAGAAATGCAATGGCAGGCTACCTTCAAGCCAAACAGGGACTTGGCCTTTTCCAGGCTGAAAGCTTCCTTTGAAGGTTCCGATTGTTCTAGACAAGGGACAGATGGGGCCCTCCCCAGGCACTTTGCAGCCTGAAGCAAATGCCTTGCCCCCAATTTTCCCGTATCCCAAATGTACAGTGCCCAGTGACCGGATTTGTGCAGCTGGAGCGGAAAATCCCGCATAACGCTTCTTCGCCAGCAGGAAAAGTCCAGCTTTCAAAAGTCCATTGTGCTGACACCCCAAATCTCCCCCTTTGCCCTGGCCTTGGTCTGTTACTATCGCTGGTTGTTAATTTCTCAGCTCTGTATCCAGAGCTCTGTGCCAATGTTAGAACGTCTTTATGACATTACAGACTGAGGTTGGCCTCTTCACACATTCAGATGTTCATCTGGATTAATTTGGAGGTGTGTACTTGGACCCAGAGCTTGATAAAGTCACTATGGAGGACTACTCCTCTCAAGGCTTGCCCCATATTGATACTGACGGCTCTGCTGAGCAAGACAAGGGCATCTTGAGCTATATTAATAATAATCGTAAATTTCATCCCGCTTTCCTCTTTGAAAGGAGACTGTCCTACCCACATCTTTGTTGATCGATCTATCCAGGTATATCGGCTTCATCTTTCCTGACCCGCATGCCTCCAAAAGCTATTAGGAGGTAATGGGCAACCACTTCTCCCTCATTCCATCAATGCATAAATAGGTAATGTGCATCCTTTTGTCCTGCTGGGTGCTGCCATTATTGAGTCATCGGCTGCTGAGCCAGGAATGATAGTTCGGATGGTCTTTTTCATTGTCCCTGTAGAGAGAGCAATGGGTGTTTACAAATTGCAAAGGATTCTTCTCCTCTTCTTTTTGCCTTTTGACGATTTTATTTTGAAACTAAAAGGTAGATCCAGAACGTGGACAAGTTTGTTTGTTGGACTGCAGCTTCCAGAATCCCGCAGTGCCCTTCATAGCCATTCTTCCAGTGGATTCTGGGAGCTCTCATCCCAAAATAAGTCCTCTAAGCTCTTGATCAGGAGCCGCTGGTGGATCTCTGGAAGATTTGGAATACATCTGAAGGGATTTCTGACTCACAGGAGGTTAAGAATAGCCAGGTAAAGCTGGCTATTAAAAAGAAATCCCCCCATTTCGGGCTCCATTGCTTATTGATTTAATTCATACTCCACACTTCTTTCAGGACCAAGGTGGCTCCTAATAGAAGGTAAAGCCTCAAACAGTTAAAACAGCAGCTAGTCCGGAAGTTCAAAAATTAAATCAACAACAAGAAAACAACGACAGGTGAAAGATGAATGTCGTTCCCACAATCCTATGAGTTGTTACTATCGTTTGAGACCTTTCCTGTCTTCAAAGGACCTGGAAGGTAGTTTATGATCACATATGGAACTTACCTGGGAAGAACAGAAGTTTGGATATTGATCTGCTGTCTCCTGCTTCTTTCCCTGAAACTGAGACTTGAGGCTGTTTGCAGCAAAATTCAAAGCAGTGCAAATAATTTTAAAAACACCATGGAACAAATTAAATTACTCTTAATCCGGTTGAATTAAAAGTAATTTAAAATAAAGGTATATGATTCCCAGCCAGTGAAATCAGCTGAGTCTCATTCTGAGCATAATAAAAAGTGATAGTTTCTCAGCTTACCAACAGCAGGATATTGAAGTTAAAGATTCAACAAGCACAAGGGAAATCCCTTTGAGGGATTTTCAATACCTTCGAGTGGGCCTTTTATTGTATCAATATGCCCTTTGCTCCTCGAACCCGCTTGTAATTGAATGAGAAGGCTTACAAGTTGGAAAAAGTGACTTTCTGCCTCTGTCCGCATTCAAACATCCTTAGTTTTTGAGATTCAGTTCTCGGCTTAAAAGTATATGATGTCTTTTATGGGAAATATACTTGGAAATTTCTAAATAATTCACCTGGTTTTAATATATGAGTGCCTTTTAGAGTCCAAGGCATATCTTACTATGCAAAAGGTGCTTTCAGAGTGTATAATCCATGTATTTTTAATACATTAAAAGTGATCTGCATTTCTCAACTGCAGGCTGATGCCAAAGCTGGATGAAACAGTTCTGTGAATGAATACACGCAAAATTATAAAATTGAGAACTCAACCTGTCTATCCATCCCTTTTCTGTCATTTTTTAAAAGAAGTCCAAGTTGAGGATGGATGAGGGACAGACTCCCTCTAAGAAAGAATGAACGCTGGGCTTATTATCTTGGGAGCTGAAAGGCTGGGTAAACAAGTCAGCTGATAATGACTTTTTTGAAAAAAGACCTCTCGAAATGGTCTGTGTTTGGCTTTCAAGTGATTGGCTTGGTGACCTCTGTCAGGACTTTTGTGGCATAGGGGGCAAGGGTTGCCCTCGAGTTGCGATTGAGCCTCAAATGGAAAGCCCTTCTTCTGTGTCTGCTCGTTTTCTTTCCTAGAGGTGACAAAAGTCTTGAAACGTTGAAGCTGAGGGGAGGCAACTTTCATTATTGCAGCATTTCACAAACTGGGGTTGCGAGGGGGTGTCAAAGGGGTTGCCAGAGACCATCAGAAAACAGTATTTTCTGTTGGTCATGGGGGTTCTGTGTGGGAAGTTTGGCCCAATTCTATCATATGTGGGGTTCAGAATGCTCTTTAATTGTAGGTGAACTATAAATCCCAGCAATAATGTCGAGGTCTGTTTCCCCCAAACTCCAGCAGTGTTCACATTTGGGCATATTGAGTATTCATAACAAATTTTGTCCAAATCCATCATTGTTTGAGTCCACAATGCACTCTGGATGTAGGTGAACTGCAACTCCTGGACAATGCCTACCAAACTCTTCCAGTATTTTCTTTTGGTCATGGGAGTTCTGTGTGCCAAGTTTGGTTCAATTCCATTGTTGGTGGAGTTCAGAATTCTCTTTGATTGCAGGTGAACTATAAATCCTAGCAACTACAACTCTCAAATGAGAAACACCACGTCCCAACCCCACCAGTATTCAAAGTTGGGCATATTGGGTATTTGTGGCAAATTTAGTCCAGTGAATGAAAATACATCCTGCATATCAGATATTTACATTACGATTCATAACAGTAGCAAAATTACAGATATGAAGTAGCAACAAAAATAATTTTATGGTTGGGGGTCACCACAATTCGAGGAACTGTATTAAGGGGTCATGGCAATAGGAAGGTTGAAAACCACTGCGTTATTACATCCCTGGCCTTCACTGATTCCGATCAATTTCCACGGGTTGTAGCTAGACTGCTTCCTATTTTTCTCCACGGGATCCAGCCGAAAGCTACTTTCTCCCTTCTGCTTTTCCACAGCTCCAGCTCTCGACAAAGGGAAGGAGCGTTTTCCACCTTTCTGCCAGGCGAGCTTCACTTCTCCATTTCCACCAACGGTTTGCATTTGTGAAATATCCTGGTGGTTAGAGCCTGGTGCTTTGCTTTTTGTCTCCCTTTTCCCCACTTGCTTCCAAGACAGACGATGCCATGATGTGCAGAAGTTTTAACTGGACAGTGGGTCCCTTTAGATTTGGAACCAAACCGGCGGGCATCATGCAAACTGTCTGGGTCGTTGCTGTGACCTGGATGCTCTTTGGGGAGGCCAACGCTCGAGGATCTCCTTTTGGATTGCAGGATGCCGAGAGCTCAGTGCCTCTTCCCTTCGACAGTAGAGGGCAGGCCATCAGGATCCTGGACCCGGGTCCACATGTAGATGTAAGTAGGGGAAGTTACTCTCTCCTTCCTGAACACAAGAACCTTATCGTTGTCTGTGGGGCAAGTTAGTTTACTTAGTACTATTGGAAATGGCCTTCATAGTGCTGGCATCTCAATTGAAAACCCAGTCCAACGACACTCACTTAGTACCACCTCTCTAGATCCCGGCAACAATCATTTTATTCCCCTCAGATCTGAGTGGATAATACATTTAATATCCTCTTTACAATTGCTGGCATTGTTGCTGATGGTTTTGCCCCCTCCCTGCTTCTCTTCTTTAATATCTTCTTTTTGTGTTAGGTGTGACTTGAGAAACTACAAGTCACTTCTGGTGTGAGAGAATTGGCCGTGTGCAAGGACGTTGCCCAGGGGACACCCAGATTTTTTTTTGATGTTTTACCATTTTTGTAGGAGGCTTGTCTCATGCCACATGAGGAGCTGGAGCTGACAGAGGGAGCTAATCTGCGCTCTGCTCGGATTCTAACCTCCGACCTGTCGGTCTTCAGTCCTGCCAGCACAAGGGTTCAACCCATTGCACCACGGGAGCTCCTTCTTTAATCTGAATTAAATGGAGTGTGTTAGTTGTGTTGATAGGTTTAATTGAAGGGAAAGATGGAAATGCTTGTAAATAAATATAAGATGGAACAAATTGAAATTGAATCCAGACAAGACAGAGGTACTCCTGGTCAGTCGGAAGGCCGAACAGGGGATAGGGTCACAGCCTGTGTTGGATGGGGTTACACTCCCCATAAAGACGCAGGTTCGCACCTTGGGTGTGATCCTGGACTCATCGCTGAGCCTGGAACTTCAGGTTTCGGCGGTGACCAGGGGAGCATTTGCACAGTCAAAGCTTGTGCACCAGTTGCACCCGTACCTTGGGAAGTCTGACTTGGCCACGGTAGTCCATGCTCTAGTTACATCCCATATAGACTACTGCAACGCACTCTACATGGGGTTGCCTTTGTTGACTGTTTGGAAGCTTCAAATGGTCCAGCAGGCAGCAGCCAGGTTACTAACGGAAGCAGCGCTCAGGGAGCACACAACTCCTCTGTTGCGCCAGCTCCACTGGCTCCCAGTTTGCTACCGAGCACAATTCAAAATGCTGGCTTTTTAGCCTATAAAGCCCTTAATGGTTCCGGCCCAGCTTCTCTGTCCAAACGTATCTCTCCTTACGAACCATCTAGGAATTGAAGATCGTCTGGGGAGGCCCTGCTTTGATCCCACCTTCCTCACAGGCACATTTGGCAGGGACGAGAGACAGGGTCTTCTCAGTGGTGCCCCCTCGGCTGTGGAACTAGGGATATTCGATTGGCCCCCTCCCTCCTGACCTTTCGGAATAGAGTAAAAACCTGGTTCTTTGAGCAAGCTTTTGGAACCGCAGCATAATCAGATAAACAGAGTATGATGAAATAACGAACACCGAACAGCCTAAACGATGTAAATGGATAAGGAGTTGAACTGGAAAACATTGATTATTATAGTTTTATGTATGCATGTATGTATGTATGTTGTGGCATCTAATTGTTGCCAATTTGTACGCCGCCCTGAGTCGCCTTCGGGCTGAAAAGAGCGGGATAAAAATGCTGTAAATACATAAATAATAAATAAATAAGACCACTGGGCTCACCTGGTGTCTTTCTTTGCTCTTTCTCTCTTTCTGGTCTTCTAACCCCTTCCTTCCCTCCCTCCCTCCCTTTGCTCTTTCTCTCCTTTTGGCCTTCTAATCCCTTCCTTGATTCCTTCTTTCCTTCCCTCTTCTTTTTGCTCTTTCTCATTCTTTTTGCTCTTTTCTTTCATTCCCCTCCCTCTCTTTTCTTCTTTCTCTTTCTTCCTTTCCCCCCATCCTTTACATACACTTTTTGATTAATTTCCCTCTCTCTTCTTTCTCTCTATATTCAAGTGCAGAGAGGTGAAGAAGCAGAACATCTCTGGACGCTGCTCCTTCATCAAAAACAACCCGGACTGTCAGATGGAAGGCGGGTTTCTCAATTACCTCAACGGAGTCTTCTGCGTCTTCCCTGCTTCCCTGCAACCTCTGGCCGTAACCCTCTATGTAAGGACCAAAGCAATGAGTTGTGAAGGGACCCCCTTTTCCTTTCTGCTTGGCTTGTAGTGGGATCTCTGAAGGTCTGCCATGAAAGATGCCAGGGGAAATGCAGGATGTTCTCCTTTGGGCGGGCTGCCAGAGGAGAGTGAAATCTGATTCAGATTTGGAAGGGATCCTGGACCAACTAGGACTCGAAAAGAGGATGGTGCAGTGGAGGATAAGCAGAGCTTGGGAATGTTAGTTTTGGACTATCTTTCCCAGAATCCCCACCCAGCATGGCTACTTCAGGCCCAAAAGGATGGAGGGCAGAATGAATTTTGAGTCAGAACAAGAATCAAGCCATTTGTGTCACACCAAGTGCCACAACTTTGAGAGAAGCCATTGCAACACATGAGGGAGTGCCATGGTGACTCATGCTCAGGGAATTGATTCTGGCTTTCACCCTTCCAAAGAGGAAGTGCCGTTTCTGGGAGAAGGAAGTAACATGCTGGGCATTTCTTGGGTTCAGGCAGAAGCTACTTCAAGGAGCGATACACACGGAGCCGCTTCAGCTCAAGTGGAGACATAGTGTCTGTTTTGAAAGGCAGATTTCTGAGCTCTCACTATCCTTGCTTTGGAAAGCTTTGCATAAACCAGGGGAGCATGATGGTGGTTAGACACTGAACTGGATGGTCTCAGCTTTGGGGAAAATCTCTTCCCAGTTTTTATGAGACTCTTCCCTTTGTATTGTCGAAGGCTTTCATGACCGGAATCACTAGGTTGTTGTGAGTTTTCGGGCTGTAAGGCCAGGTTCCAGAAGCATTCATTCAGGTCCTGAACTGTGGCCACTGTGACAGTCTGGATAAGGGTGGAAAAATAGAAACTGAATCCATACAAGACAGAGGTCCTCTTGGTCAGTCGAAAGGTTGAACAGGGCATAGGGTCACAGCCTGTGTTGGATGGGGTTACACTCCCCCTGAGGTTGCAGGTTCACACCTTGGGTGTGATCCTGGATTCATTGCTGAGCCTGGAACCCCAGGTTTTGGCAGTGCCCAGGGGAGCATTCTCACAATTAAAGTTTGTGCGCCAGCTGCGCCTGTACTTTGGGAAGTCTGACTTGGCCACGGTAGTCTACTCTCCGGTTACATCCCGTATAGACTACTGCAACACACTCTACATGGGGTTGCCTTTGAAGACTGTTCGGAAGCTTCAAATGGTCCAGCGGGCAGCAGCCAGATTGCTAACGGGAGCAGTGCTGAGGGAGCACACAACTCCTCTGTTGCGCCAGCTCCGCTGGCTGCCAGTTTGCTACCAGGCACAATTAAAAGTGTTGGCTTTAGCTTATAAAGCCCTAAACAGTTCCGGCCCAGCTTACCTGTCAGAACGTATCTCTCCTTTTGAACCATCTAGGAACTTAAGATCTTCTGCGGAGGCCCTGCTCTCAATCCTGCCTTTGTCGCAGACGCGCCTGGCGGGGACAAGCGACAGGACCTTCTCAGTGGTGGCCCCTTGGCTGTGGAACTCCCTCCTTAGAGATATTAGCTCAGCCCCCTCCCTCCTGACATTCTGAAAAACAATAAAAACCTGGCTTTTTGAACAAGCTTTTGGAAATGCAATGTAATAGAAAAACATGGAACTTTGAAAGAGTGAACATGGAATGGCTTAGACCAGTGGTTCTCAACCTGGGGTCCCCAGATGTTTTTGGCCTTCAACTCCCAGAAATCCCAACTGCTGGTAAACTGGCTGGGATTTCTGGGAGTTGTAGGCCAAAAACATCTGGGGACTCCAGGTTGAGAACCACTGGCTTAGACAATGCTTCTGGAAAATGAGTTAACAGGAAATCACTGGTGATTTTATGTTTTAKATGATTTTATATGGTTTTTATAATGTGTGCTAAATGTCTTTAATTGTGTTTTATAACMGTTGTGGCTTCGAATTGCTGCCAATCTGTAAGCCTCCTTGAGTCGCCTTTGGGCTGAGGAAGGCGGCATAGAAATACCATAATTAAATAAATTCTCTTCTGATGTTTCACCTATATTTATGGCAGGCATCCTCAGAGGTTGTGACCTCTGAGGATGCCTGCCATAGATGCAGGAGAAACATCCCGAAAAACTTACAACTYCCCACCTCTTCCCTTTGGTTTCATGCAGGCACTGTGGCTTCTTTACCTCTTTGTGATCCTTGGCGTCACCGCTGAGAAATTGTAAGTCACAACCCCAGAACATTTTGAGACACTGAAAATGGTTCACTCTTCTATTTGCTGCGTCCACTTTCCATTGACCACTTTCCCTTCCCTTTTTCTGAACTGTATTTCTACATGCTCAACTGAGGCTTTAGGCAACTACAGTTTGCGAGGGACAGAAGGAAAATGGGGGGCAGAATTCTTCTTCAAGAGAACAACGCTGTCATATTTTCCCCACATCACCCTTTTAAGGATTAGCTGTCTTTAGGCAAGGAGAAATCATCTCGGGAAACGGGAGGCAATGGATCAAAAAGTGTTTAACCTGTGCTTTCTCATCTTTTCTTCCTCTCCCCTTTCAGCTTCTGTCCCAATTTATCTGCCATCTCCACCAAGCTGAAGTTGGCCCACAACGTGGCAGTATCCTTTCATGTGTTTATTCTATGTGCAGTATTGACACACATTCAACAGGATGGAACAGGATTACAGGAGCCACAGCTTCATGGGTTCTAAAAATATATGTTTATTAAAGTAAAAAAATATCCATTCTGGATAGAAAAGGTTCTTGGAGCTAACTAGCTTACTAAGCTGTCTTGTAAGGAAAGTAGGAGAGGATAAACATCTATCTATCTATATGCTCTGTTTGTTTTGAGAGGCATCATAACTAAAAGAAAATGGCCACAAGACACATACTAACCCAAGGAGTGACCATCACTAAAAATTGATTTTGTCATTTGGGAGTTGTAGTTGCTGGGATTTATGGTTCACCTACAATCACAGAGCATTCTGAACCCAACCAATGAAGGAATTGAACCAAATTTGGCACACATCACTCTTATGACCAACAGAAAACACTAGAAGGATTTCGTGGGCATTGACCTAGAGTTTTGGAGTTGTAGTTCACCTACATACAGAGAGCACTGTGGACTCAAACAATGAAGGACCTAGACCAAACTTGGCATGAATACTCCATATGCCCAAATATGAACACAGATAGAGTTTGGGGAAAATAGACCTTGACATTTGGGAGTTGTACTTACTGGGATTTATAGTTCACCTCCAATCAAAAAGCATTCTGAACCCCACCAACAATAGAATTGGGTCAAACTTCCCACGCAGAACCCACATGACCAACAGAAAAAACTGAGTTTTCCAGTGGTCTTTGGTGACCCTTCTGACAGCCCATTGTGACCCTCCCAGGGGTCCTGTCCCCCAGGTCAAGAAATGCTGCCTTAAGGCCATCCAGACCAGCTCCCTTCACCAGGGCAAGAAAACATAATCAAAGCTGTCCTGACAAAGAGCCATCCAGCCATAGATATAGATAGATAGATATGATTCACAGACACACACATATTTATTTATTTTATTTATTTAATGCATTTGTTGACCGCCGCTCTCAGCCCTAGGGCGACTCGCGGCGGTGTACAACATATAAAAACATTTTACAAAAAACACACAATACATCAACAAGCCATAATTACACAATCTAAATTATACTAACTAATCCGCACCGTCACAACATAGGAGCCTACCAGTCTCATAATCCATATTCCAGTCCGGTTGTCATTATCAGTTAGTCTGGCACTAGTTAAATGCCCTCTCGAAGAGCCAGGTCTTTAGGCTCTTCCGGAAAGCCATAAGAGAGGGCGCCTGTCTGATGTCAACATATATACGTATATGACAAAGTATCCTAGATTTGAAAGGGGCCCCTAAAGAAGGACAATTATATCTCAAAAATTATGACTGATACAGGGAAACAGGTGCCATTTTTTGAATCAGCAGGTCAGATATATCAAGAAACAGATCCTTATGGACCATCTGGAAGAGAGCAAAAAGATCCAGAAGTGAAACTGCACTTCAGTTAACACTTGAAAGTCAATGAGACCGAGAGGCATAAAACATCTGGTGCTGTGAGCAGAAATAACTTCATATCACCCATTATGATTTTTTTTAAACCAGGCAATCTCAACATCAACACTGACAAAGCAACAGCAAGAAATACTGTTTGCCCACAAGCATAAAGAAATTATATATATTAGAAACCAACACTTTTTCATTACTTTATCTTCCAGATCACCAGACTGGGCCACAGCAACACATGGCAGGGGACAGCTAATAAGAAATATCCATGCAGCTACATCTTGCCTGGAGAAACACAAAATGTGTCCTTACTCAAAGGAAACAAAAGAAAAGAGAGGCCAAAATGGAGAATGACCACATGGCCAAACCAGGGCAATAAAGCCAGGGCAATCAAAATACCTTTAAAGAGGAAGTTACCTCATCCCTCACAGATATCACATTGCTATGTATTCAGAAGGGGAGGAGATAGTGGCAAGCAGGAAGAGCCCCCGCAAAGCCTTTTCTGAGATAGGCATGCATAGGAATTTGGGGAAGGAATCCCTCACTCTAATTCTATCTAGGCTAACAACTCATTGAGGGCTGGAAACTTTTGCAGTCAGGGATGAAACCCAACAATATGTATGCTTCTTTATTATTGAAACAATGGCTTGGGTCCAGTCCTACTGGGAGGAGGCCCATAGAAAACCAGTTGGGCTGTTGAAAGTATGATTAACTGGACCTAACCCATCATTTCTACCCATATATTCATACGATGTTGGCCTAATTATATAGCATTATATAATATTTTCAGACCCAAGATCCGCCTTTAGCCCAGATGAGTATCCACATCTTTTTTTGGTGGCATATGTTTTTATGGGGTTTGGAGAGGGATCTTGCATACAATTGGACACCTGATCTTTTCCTTAACTTTCTCTTCCATGGTGTCACCTTTCTGGCCTTTGGAAATGGGGCACCAGATGTCTTCAGTGCCGTGGTGGCATTCTCAGACCCCCGGACAGCCGGTCTAGCCATTGGCGCACTCTTTGGTATGCATTTTTTCTGGATGCTTTTTGACGAATTGCAGCTTGCAGTCCTTCTCTTCCTTTCCCTTCCTGCTTGGTGGGAGCTGTCCTGCTTCTTTCCTTCCTGGAAACTGGATAGCTCTAGTTTCAGTACTGATTTGAACTCAGTAAACCCGCTTGAATACCTAGCAAAAAGTGGCCGCTAGACAGAGTTTCATCTATGCTGACGATCGTGCAATCACTGCTTCAAGCAGGGAACTTTGAAATGGTTGAACAGAAGCTCTTTGAAGCTTTAGGTGCTCTTACTACCTATTACAAGGAAAACCAGCTGGTTCCTAATGTATCTAAAATTCAGGTGTGTGCTTTTCACCTTAAGAATAGACAAGCATCTCAAGCTCTGAGGATTACCTGGGACGGAATCCCACTGGAGCATTGCAGCACACTCAAACACCTGGGAGTTACTCTGGACCATGCTCTGACTTAGAAGAAGCATTGCTTGACTGTCAAGAAAAATGTGGGTGCTAGAAATAATATCATACGAAAGCTGGCTGGAACAACCTAGGGATCACAACCAGATACATTGAAGACATCTGTCCTTCCACTTTGCTACTCTGCTGCTGAATATGCATGCCCAGTGTGGAACACATCTCACCACGCTAAGACAGTGGATGTGGCTCTTAATGTGACATGCCACATTATCACAGGATGTCTGCGCCCTACACCACTGGAGAAATTACATTGTTTAGCCGGTACTGCACCAACTGACATCCACCGGGAAGTAGCAGCCAATAATGAAAGGACCAAGGCAGTGACATCTCCAGCCTATCCCCTGTTCGGATATCAGCCAGCACACCAACGCCTTAAATCAAGAAATAGTTTTCTAAGATCTACAGAGATACTCGCAGGAACACCTCAGCAAGCGAGAGTCCAAAAGTGGCAGGCTAAAACCCAGAACCTTAAGCCATGGCTGATACCGAATGAGAGACTCCCTCCTGGGCACACAGAAGACTGGGCAACTTGGAAGGTGCTGAACAGACTGCGCTCTGGCACCACGAGATGCAGAGCCAACCTCAAGAAATGGGGCCACAAAGTGGAATCCACGACATGTGAGTATGGAGAAGAGCAAACCACAGACCACTTACTACAATGCAGCCTGAGCCCTGCCACATGCACAATGGAGGACCTTCTTATAGCAACACCAGAGGCACTCCAAGTGGCCAGTTACTGGTCGAAGGACATTTAATATAATACTAAGTTTTTTTAAAAAAACATTGTGTTTTTTAAATACATTACAACTGTTCGCTTGGTTCGCTTCTGATATGATAAATAAATAACCCACTTTTTCCAGATGTTGCACTTCTCCAGTCGACAAATGCTTTGTGTATCCCTTTGGTCCAGTGGGTTTGGCATGAGGAACATCGGCAATGTCCTCTGTGCCCAGTCTCATGTGGGTGAGAGAACCTATGTGGGTGAGAAAACACTTAACCAAACCTATCTTTTTCTCTCCAGGTGCCGGCATCTTTGTCACCACTATCGTGGCGGGCGGCATAGCCCTGGTCCGACCCTTCACAGCAGCCTCCAGGCCATTCCTCAGGGATGCCGTCTTCTATATGGTGGCAGTCTTCTTGACCTTTGTGGCACTCTATTTTGAGGAGGTCACCTTGGGAGAAGCCTTGAGTAAGTCCAGACATAGAAGCCATTGCTAGATGAGGCCAAGGAATCTTTGGAACCTAGGGCCAATAAACCAGTGGCCCTCTAGATCAGGGCTTCTTAAACTTTTTCTACTCGTGACCCCTTTTTCGCCGATAATTTTTTTACGTGGTTGGGAGTTGTAGTTGCTGGGATTTATAGTTCACCTACAATCAAAGAGCACTCTGAAATCCACCAACGATGGAATTGAACCAAACTTGGCACAAAGAATTCCCATGTCCTGCAGAAAATACTGGAAGAGTTTGCTGCGCATTGACCTTGGGTCTGGGAGTTGTAGTTCACCTACATCCAGAGAGCACTGTGGACTCAAACAGTGAAGGATCTAGACCAAACTTGGCACAAATCCTCAATATGCCCAAATGTGAACACTGGTGTAGTTTGAGGAAAATAGACCTCGACATTTCGGAGTTGTAGTTGCTGGGATTTATAGTTCACCTACAATCAAAGAGCATTCTGAACCCCACTAATGATAGAATTGGGCTAAACTTCCCAAAGAGAACCCCCCTGCCTTGAAGGGACTCACTGGCACGAGCCTCCCTCCAGCCTCACATGTTCTCCCTCTCCTGTGCATGCACACCACACTGCCATGCACTGAGCACACCTGCTCTCCCCTCCCCACTTGGAGTCTCAGAAACAGCCATCCCCTTGGCTGAGAGGCCAGCCAATCACAGTGCAGGAGGGCTTTTGGTGGGAGAATTTGCCACCTGTCTTAAAAAAGGAAGAGAAGGACAGGCTGAGAGATCTTCAGCCTTCTCTGCTAAAGGGGTTCCTAAGACCATCAGAAATATGTGTTCAGCTCTTAGAGTGTTGTAATCCATAGTGGCAGGGCTTCTGGGAGCTCAGAGGCTGAGAACAACTGAATTAAGCACAAGGCAAAGCCCAGTGGTCTGGACTGTTGTAAAGCGACCTCTTTGGTTTTGCAGGTTACCTTGGCCTCTACATCTTCTATGTCTTGACGGTGGTGGTGTCCACATGGCTTCACAAGAGGCAACGCAGAGAGAGGCTGGCACCCCCTAGCCCTGCAGAACCAGGTGAGGCAAGGAGCAAAGAAGCCACCGGACTTCCTTCTCTGTACACAGAAGGTCTCAGGTCCAACCCATGACCATCTGGGATCTCTTAAAAGTAAAAAGTAACAGGAAAAGACACCCTTCTCTATGATAGCCCTGACAGCTATCGCAGTCAAAGTAAGGATGCCTGAGAAATGCTTTCAGTTCCTGGATTTTAACTGTGCCCTTTGGAAGCAATCCACAAACTAAGAAAGGCTTGGTTGCTGTGAGTTTTCCGGGCTGTATGGCCATGTTTCAGAAGCATTCTCTCCTGATTTTTCGTTCACACCTATGGCAGGCATTCTTAGAGGTTGTGAGGTCTGTTGGAAACTAGGCAAGTGGGGTTTATATATCTGTGGAATATCCAGGGTGGGAGAAAGAACTCTTGTCTATTGYAGGCAAGTGTGAAAGTTGCAATTAATCACCTTGAGTAGCATTGAATAGCCTTGCAGCTTCAAAGACTGAGTGATTCCTGCCTGGGGGAATCCTTTMTTGGGAAGTGTTTGATGGCCCTGATTGATTCTTGTCTGGAATTCCCCTGTTTTCTGAGTGTTGCTCTTTATTTACTGTCCTGATTTTAGCGTTTTGTTTTGTTTTTGTTTTTTTTTATTCTGGTAGCCAGATTTTCATGGTTTTCTCCTTCCTGTTGAAATTGTCCATGTGCTTGTGGATTCCAATGGCTTCTTTATTGTGTAGTCTGACATGATTGTTGTTGAGTGGTCCAGCATTTTTTGTGTTCTCCAATAATATGCTGTGTTCAGGTTGACTCATCAGGTGTTCTGCTATGGCTGACTTCTTTGGTTGGATTAGTCTGCAGTGCCTTTCATGTTCCTTGATTCATATTTGGGCAATGCTGCTGCATTTGGGGTCCCTATGGAGACTTGTCCACAGCTGCCTGGTATACGGTAGACTCCTGCAGAGGTGGGAGAATCCCTCTTGTCCTTTGCTGAATGCAGCATCAAGGAAACCACTGAGTGCACAGGGAAGCTGATGAAGAAACACAACCTACAAACTATCTACAGACCCAGTAAGAAAAGCCAACAAATGCTGCATTCAGCAAATGGCAAGAGGTATCCTGTCACCTCTGCAGGCATCTATCGTATACCATGCAGCAGTGGACAAGTCTACATAGGGACCACGCAACCAAACATTGCCCAGACACGAATCAAAGAACACGAAAGGCACTGCAGACTAATTCAACCAGAGAAATCAGCCATAGCAGAACACCTGATGAACCAACCTATTGGAGAACACAGAAAAGCTGAACCATTCTGACAAATACCATGCATGTCAGGACAGAGAAGCCATTGAAATCCACAAGCATGTGGACAATTTCAACAGAAAGGAGGAAACCATAAAAATGAACAAAACCTGGCTACCAGTATTTTAAAAACTCTAAAATCAGGACAGTAAATAAAGAAAAACACACAGAAAACACGGAATTCTAATCAGGAAACAATTAGGGCCAGCTAACACTTCCTAATAAAGGATTCCCCCAGGCAGGAAGCAGCCAGGCTTTGAAGCTGCAAGGCTATTCAATGCTAATCAAGGAGGCCAATTGCAAAATTCCCACTCGTCTCAAGCAGACAGTTTTTTCACCCACCCTGGACATTATTCCACAGGGATATAAACCACACTTGCCTAGTTTCCAACAGACCTCACAACCTCTGGGGATGCCTGCCATAGATATGGGTGAAACGTTAGGAGATAATGCTTCTGGAACATGGCCAGACAGCCCGGAAAACTCACAGCAACCCAGTGATTTAGGCCATGAAAGCCTTTGATAGAAAATTACGATAGACTTCTCCGTATTTTCTAGTGTTTTTCCCATTGAAAGGGGAGAATGAAAGACAGCTGGAAATGCAGGCCAAAAGTGCATTAGGAGAAAGGTGCAGAAAAATGTCTACAGATTTCTCACAAATACTTTCAACATAAATTCTCAGTGGATGAACCAAGGATGGATGTAACAAAAAGCCGAAGTGAACAGATCTATGCATCCCTATATTCAGAAGAGAAAGTACTATATTTGATCATTAGCCTCATTGATAGAAGGCCCATTGCTATATCCGAGATGCATTTACCCCGGAAATAACTCGGGCTTTTGAGCACTTTTTTATGTTTACATTTTTGTTAAGACAGATTAAAACAAAACCTACATACATACAAAAAACAAAATGTCATCAACAACAAAAGATTAAAAACACTTTTTCTATAGTAATACTACTACTTCCTAAACATAAAAAACTAGTGACTGCAAACTACATACAATCTATGTTATCTAATCTAAGGGCTTTCCATTGTGTCTGGTGGTTATATTCTCTGTTTTCTACACCCGTTTAGTGAAAAGGAACCATTGGTACATCCTTTCCCCACAAAGCTTGAAATAGAAACAGTAACCTTGGTCGTACATTCATCTTTATAGCTGGAATTCTACCAATAAGAGATAGCTGTAAACCTTTCCACTGATGTAAAGCTTTTAAAACTTCTTTCCATGGTTGTCTATAATTATCCTTAAGCAACTTTTGAGTTTTTAGTAGAAATGTTTATACCTAACATTTGACATTTTGTACAGCTTGAAAACCCAATTTCTCAGATAAGATTTTCAGATCCATTTTTGTCAGATTCTTGGTCAACGTTGTTGTTTTCTCATTAATAATTTTAAATCTTGAGACTGTTCCATCTTTCAGGATACAGTTCAGATCTCTACCCGTGTTCAGAGGGTCCTCCAAAAAACCAAAATCACTGTAATCTGCAAAGGCTTTCAGCTTCTAAGTTTGTCCTTTTGAGCACTTTATTTGACCAATCCCACCTCTGCCTTTTTTACTCTCACTTCTGTCTTTTAACAGAGCATCCGACGGACTCCGAAGATGGGGATGCCTCAAGTGTCACTGGAGGTGACTACGGTGAGTCAAATCCAACCTTTAGGACTGAAAAAGAGCTTGGCGGGAATGATGGAAGAGGGGCACATTTCTAGAAGTATCTTTTCCTACATAAGCCGCCCTATGTTCTTTCGAAGCGATGACGGATGTTGTTTTTGTTAGAGAATGCAAGGAATCAGTAAGTGTGTGTGTATCAACTGTAAAATAAAGTGCATGAAGCCAATTAGTTGGCAATGTATGGGGTGATGGCTGAGCCTGAAACTTTTGGATACTGTTGCAATTTTGTTCAGGGTCAAGCTATGCATGTGTAGAGAGACAATTGGAAGAGAGAAGCAGAGAGAGACAGACTGATTTGCTTCTTGGCTGCTGAAAAGAAGTTATCTCATACGGACAAAGAAATACTATTTTAATTCTCTGAAAAGACATTTAGTGAGTTGAAGCAACTGATCATATTGTACATATGTTCAATGTATTGTCAAAGGCTTTCATGGCTGGAATCACTGGGCTGTTGTAAGTTTTTTGGGCTGTATGGCCATGTTCCAGAAGCATTCTCTCCTGACGTTTCACCTGCATCTATAGCAGGCATCCTCAGAGGTTGTCAGGTCTGTTGGAAACCATACATGCAGGTGTAACGTCAGGAGAGACTGCTTCTGGAACATGACCATACAGCCTGAAAAATTTACAACAATTCAATGTACATATGTTGTTCTGAACTAAGAAGAGTGAACAACTTGATCTTTTATGTTCACCTGCATGGCATATTTTCTTTCCCTGGCAAGGCAGTGTGTGGGCTGATCCAACATAAACTACACGTGGTTTATTTTACATTACGCCACAGTGTTCTGCTCTTGGTCTTTCTGAAAACGGGATTCTTTGTGGCCAACGTGGAGCAGCATGGAATCCATGATAGTCCAATAGTCCTGTATTTCATTGTCCCTCTCCCTCCTGTGCAGGTGAAGAATACCAGGCCCTGCTGCCTTCAGAGGAAAGTACATTCCAGATCCTAATTCGCTCTGTCAACCCCCTGGACTACAGGAAATGGAGGAGGAAGCCCTGTTACTGGAGGCTGATAAAGGCCTGCAAGGTAACTGCCTGGGTTCATGAAAGTAATGTGACACAGGTCAAATTACTTTCATGCCATATATTATGCTCTTAACCAAGGGCAAATATCGATTTGACTCTGTATCCATCAAAGGGCAACCTTCCTTGAGCTTTACAGTGCTGTTTTCTTGGGAAAATCTTTTCCTGGTGGTTCACACAGAAGGGTATAATAAAAGGAAGCTTTTGGGTTGTTTGGGTGGAAACTTGGACCACTGTATAATGTGCTCACAGTCTGCAGTTAATACCAATCATCTCCTTTTACAAAAAGAACGTTCTCATTAGCTAGTTCCCTGTAGCATCTGGTGGTTCTCCTTGCAGACTGTATTGTGACCACTTGGCTTCTCTTACGGCGAGGGATGGGTCACTTTGGTGACCCACATGAAACAGCAGAGAGCTTACCAATGGACACTGCTACTGTTGGGTTGGCCTGTCCATCTAGCCTTGGTCACAACTTCTTTCCATCGCTGGTTGCTGAAAGTGATTGGCAATTACAGAAGTCCTCCTGGTCAGTCGCATGGCCGAACAGGGTATAGGGTTACAGCCTGTGCTGGATGGAGTTACACTCCCCTTGAAGGTGCAGGTTTGCAGCTTGGGAGTCCTCCTGGACTCATCGCTGAGCCTGAAACCTCAGGTTGTGGCAGTGGCTAGGAGGCCTTTCGCACAATTAAAACTTGTGCGCCAATTGCACCCATACCTTGGGAAATCAGATTTGGCCATGGTGGTCCAAACTCTTGTTACAACCAGGATAGACTACTGCAACGCGCTGTACGTGGGGCTGCCTTTGAAGACTGTTCGGAAGCTTCAAATAGTCCAACAAGAGACAGCCAGGTTAAAAACTGGGGCGGCATACAGGGAAAACACAACTCCCATGTTACATCACCTCCACTGGCTGCCTGTTTGCTACCGGGCACAATTCAAAGTGTTGGCTTTGGCTTATAAAGCCCTAAATGGCCCCGGCCCAGTTTACCTGTCCGACTAAGATCTTCTGGGGAGGCCCTGCTCTAGGTCCTGCCACTGTCACAGGTGCATTTGGCGGGGGCAAGAGAGAGGGCCTTTTCAGTGATTGCCCCCTCCCTTCTGTCCTTCAGGCTGTAGACCAGGCCTTTGGGACAGTGCAGTAATGCAATAATAGAGAACCTACTCCACTTACTGGTTTTCAACAGCTGATTTTAAAGTAGATATGACTGATTTTAATGTTTGTTATATTTATAGTTATTTTATGTCCCGGCATGGAATTTTTGCCGTTTCTATGTTGTGCTCTGCCCTGAGTCCCCTTTGGGATGAAAAGGGCAGAATATAAATCTTTCAAATAAATAAATAAATAAATAATCATGATTTGAATATTTAAGAACATAATTAGGAAAAGTATTGTTGGCTCAGTCCAAAGGCCTACAGATTTAGTAGTATCCTTCCCAGTATGTTACCTCTCTGGTACTAGCCATGGTGAAGCTGTACTCTCTCTGGTCCTTAATGGAAGCCTTTATTTTCTTGAAATATATCCAAACCTTAGTTTAAAACAATTCAGATTGACAGCCTTCACTCTGTCTCATGGCAGTGAGTTCCATGGTATAGCTCTGTCCTTCTTTTTATATAATCTTTAACTCCCTCACCATTCAACTTGAGTGGAGAACCCTGAAATGCTTTCAACATGTATAATCATTCCTTCTTTGGAAGGTGGAGATGGAGGTGTTAGTTTTTTAAAGATTGTTCTTTTTTTTAAGGACAGTTTTTGAAACACAGATTTAAAGTAGGAAAGAGTCTTTCAGACAGATGGTGTCTTTATCCAGCTTAACGAGTCATGTTTCCCCTGCAGTTGCCGATTGAGTTTGTGCTGCGCCTTACAGTCCCCATCGTGGATCCCGACAGGGAAGATCAGAACTGGACCCGGCCCTTGAACTGTCTCCACCTGATTGTGGGCCCCGTCTTCTGTGTCCTCACGTTGAAGTCTGGCGGGTGTAAGCACGGGGTTCCCTTCCTTGAGCGTATGCTGTGGGAATGTCATGCATGGGAAGAGAGAGGAAGGAGGCAGAACTATGATAGGAACCTCTGGCCCACCAGATATTTTGGACTTCAGCTCCTAGAAGCCCCAAATTGCATCCCTAGTGGTTGCACAATCCTGTAGGTTTGAATACCAAATGCATATCTACTAGGTGAAGTTAGGCAAACCCCACTTTGTCAGCCTCAGAGGAAACCTCTGAATCAGGCTGGACAAGAAAACCCTAGGATAGAGTTGCACTTCAAGAAGCTTTTTGACCTTTTATAATGGAAGCTGGTAGACCACTCAGGGATGGGATCATGGTGGGCTTGAAATTCTGGACCCGCCTTAGGATAGTAGGCTCCATATAATTGATAGGGATTCTAACTATTGTTGTCTAGTCCGATCCTCTGCCAGTGAAGAAATCCATGATTTCGGATCAGCGGAGGGCCAAAGCAATGGTTTTGTTTGTTTCTGTTTCTCCTGCAGATGGACTTTACAAGATCCAGGGCATCTTTCCGGTGTGGGGTGTGGTGTTGCTGGCAGGGGTTGCCATGGCAGTGATCATCTTTGTCACTACGAAGAACGAAGTGCCGCCAAAATACCACTGGGTGAGCATCGTCTTGGAAAAGTGGTGGGACTGTGGAATGAATGAAGTGGGCCATGTTGGGCGAGTGGGCTTAACAATAAAAGACCCTCCTCAAAAATGTACAGCAGAGCAACTCAGCAGCAGCAGCGTGACCCAGCGCCAACAGCCCAAAGTGATAAAAGAACAAAAAGACACAAGACCAATCTTATATTTGTATTGTCGAAGGCTTTCATGGCTGGAATCACTAGGCCCTTATAGCCCGAAAAGACCCACAGGAACCTAATCTTATATTTTCCAAAGTAGGCTTTTCTTCGTAGTAAAATAATATAGTTGCACTATTTACAATAACAATGTTTCCACAACACGAATAAACAAATACATAGTAGCTTTATATACTGGAGCTCCACACAAGAGGCTTCTCCTTACACAGACACCTCTTCACACAGACTGAGGAGTTCCCCCACTGAGGCAAAACTAACTCTAACAGGCTTTGGCCTACTCACTGTCCTCAGGATGAAGCCAGCCCTGGCCCACTAACTCTATCAGGCTTCGGCCTAGTTCTTTCAGTGTTTGGTTCACACTTTTGTAATCAAAAATACTCAGTTAATATTTAATATATGTTTTTTTAATAATTGTTATTGCTTATCATCTGAGTACTAAAACATAAGAATACAATGAAAGTGGGGGAACAATTAATCAAAGAAAAGTAGGAAATTTTAAAAGATCTAGAAAAAATAGAAAAAAGAGAGAGAAAAGGGGGGGGAAAGGAAAAAGAAAAAAAAATTAAAATAAAAATGGTTCCTTCCAATCTTCTTTTCGTTAATACTTTCTTAACTGGGTTGTTGTAGGTTTTTCCGGGCTATATGGCCATGTTCTGGAGGCAATTTTTCTCCTGACGTTTCGCCCGCATCTATGGCAAGCATCCTCAGAGGTAGTGAGGTCTGTTGGAAGTAGGAAAAATGGGTTTATATATCTGAGGAATGACCACGGTGAGACAAAGGACTTTTGTCTCTTGGGGCTAGTTGTGAATGTTTCAGCTGATCACCTTGATTAGCATTCAATGGCTTGGAAGGGCCTGGGGGGAATCTCTTGTTGAGAGTGATTTTATGTGCCTGTTTGTTTCCCCTCTGTTGTTTTGCTGTTGTAATTTTTGAGTTTTTTAATACTGGTGGTTGTGAGAGTGGTCCAGCTGCATGGTACACGGTAGACTCCTGCAGAGGTGAGAGGATCCCTCTTGTCCTTTGCTGAACGTACCATTTGTTGGATTTTCTTGGTGGGTCTGTAAGTGGTTTGTATGTCACAACATGCAGCTGTGGACAAGTCTACATAGGGACCACCAAACGCAGCGCCCAGACACGCATCAAGGAACATGAAAGGCACTACAAACTACTCCAACCAGAGAAATCAGCCATAGCAGAGCACCTGATGAACCAACCTGGACACAGCATATTATTTGAGAACACAGAAGTGCTGGACCACTCTCACAACCACCATGTCAGACTACACAGAGAAGCCATTGAAATCCACAAGCATGTGGACAATTTCAACAGAAAGGAAGAAACCATGAAAATGAACAAAATCTGGCTACCAGTATTAAAAAAACTCAAAAATTACAACAGCAAAACAACAGAGGGGAAACAAACAGGCACATAAAATCACTCTCAACAAGAGATTTCCCCCAGGCCCTTCCAAGCCATTGAATGCTAATCAAGGTGATCAACTGAAACATTCACAGCTAGCCCCAACAGACAAAAGTCCTTTGTCTCACCCTGGTCATTTCACAGATATATAAACCCATTTTTTCCTACTTCCAACAGACCTCACTACCTCTGAGGATGCTTGCCGTAGATGCGGGCGAAACGTCAGGAGAAATATAGCCCGGAAAAACCTACAACAACCTAGTAATTCCGGCCATGAAAGCCTTCGACAATACACTTTCTTAACTGTTTCTCTGCATACTGCTGCAAAGTTCTTATTATAAGTATTTTCCTCTATGAATCTTAGTCCATCAAATACAAGACTATTCCAAATGATTCTCCTCTTTTAGATAGTTCTCAAAACTTAGATAGTTCTCAAAACTTGGTATTCCGAATGATTCTCCTCTTTCAGATAGTTCTCAAAACTTAGATAGTTCTCAAAACTTGGACTAGACAATATTTAATATTTCTGACAGGACAAGACCATACCTCTTTGCTTGCGAGATGCCATTTCGTCCGTTCTGTTATCCTCTTGTCTAGTGTCATCCGCACTCGATCATATAATGACAGTGTTTTAAAACCATTACCGCAACCTTCACACCCACAACCATCTCAGCGGTAATTTCTGGGGAAAATTGCAAAAGAAGAGAGACGTGTTGACCCTCAATGATATACCTGTATTTGCCCTCCCCATTTTTCTGCCATTGGGACAGCTTTTTGCCTTCCTGGGCTTCCTAGTCAGCGCCCTATGGATCAACACTACCGCCACTGAGGTGGTGAACATCTTGCGGACGTTGGGCATCGTCTTCCACCTCAGCAATACTGTTCTGGGGCTGACGCTGCTGGCCTGGGGAAACAGCATTGGAGGTGAGTAGCAGGCCCAGGGCCTGGTGATGGATTATATTTCCATTGTTGAATGTAGTGGATAACACTGAATCGTCTTTAGGGCTCCAGTGTGTGAGAGGTAACGTGTCTCTCTTGATGCCCTTCCCTTCTGTTTTCGCAGATATGTTTTCTGACCTCACAATGGCACGGCAGGGGTACCCCCGCATGGCCTTCTCTGCCTGCTTTGGAGGCATCATCTTCAGTATCCTTGGTTGATGGACTGAGTTTGCCCCTTCTTGGTTGCCAAGGGTTGTACTTCAAGGGGTGGAAGGAGTAGATTGGGCTCCAGAGGCATTGTTGGCAAGGTGGTGGTTGCCAAGGATCTCTCTCTCTCCAGATGAAAGCCATTCCTGACCAAACTGTCTCTCCATCCTGAACACATTCGCAGATATGCTTGTCGGAGTGGGACTCGGGTGCCTTCTGCAGATGACAAGCAGCAAATCAGTCGTCAGGGTATGGACTGTGTTTTGTCCTTTTCCTTTTTCCATTGCCTTTTCTTTCGACATTGGTCGTCTGATAGTGGTCTCAGAAGAGACTAAGGAGGGTTGTGGAAGTGGAAGCATATGACAGGCACTAAGGTCGGGTCGGCTTAGAACTGGGAAGGAAATCGGGTAATTCCAAGTGTTTTTGGTCCATGCTCCTCAAAGTGAATTGCGTGTTTCCAGGAAAGAAAGAGTTGTCAGTGGGCACAAATATAGTCTCCCATACCCAAAAATGTAAGAAGCACTTCTGTAGACTGTGGGAAATCTCGTGAGTAAGAAACCTTGCCAAGAGAACCCTCCTATAAGGCCATCATACGTTGGAGTTACTGAAGGTACACAACAACCAGCAGAGAAGCTGACTCTCTCTTTTTCCCTTTCCAGTTGGAATCAGAAGGCCTGCTGGTGTGGATCCTGGCTGGCGCACTGGGCCTGAGCCTGGTCTTCTCATTCCTCTCGGTCCCCGCTCAGTGTTTCCGTTTAGGCCGAGAGTATGGCTGCTGCCTCATCATCTACTATCTGGTGTTCTTGACCGTGGCCCTGCTGACAGAGTTCAGAGTGATCCGGCTTTCCACTTACTGACGCAGGAGACTGTTGCTATCGGGATTGAGTTCTTTGCCCTTGGAAAGGCATGGCTGCTGGCGAGCTCCCAGTCGCCATGGTGGTTGACTGTCATCATGGCCACTGGTCTCTGGACTTCAAGTAGAGCCCTGGCCAAGGAGTGTGCATGTCTCTGAAGGCAGGATGTTCCTGGTTCCTTGTGAGTCAGAGTGTTGCACCAAATTGGGCCTTGGAAAACTCCCCATCCCCAGCTAGTAATATATTTTTGAAGGACTTGGCATTGTTTAGGTTGGAATAGAGGAAAGTCTTTTAAAGGGTTTTTTATAATGAATTTTTTACCAGAAGCAGGATTCAAATCCTGCCTTATTTGGAGCTTGAATGTCGAAGTTGCAAAGGCATCTCCAGACTGTCTTTGGGAACTACTTCATAGTGTCGTTTGACCAAGAAATGGCACATATAAGTGAGATCAGCCCCATTGAATCAGTGGGATTTACCGATGTGTTGACTCATCATTCAACAGTTGATTCAGCAGGGAATCCGATTCTAGTTGGGTGGATGAATAGGTGTCAGGTCATGTCAGGTTAAGAGATGTATATTTTCTTCTCCTAAAGTCATATGCATGTTTTCCATAGCTTTCAATCACATATTTTAATGTGTGCCGCCTTCAAATGTAATTTCCCCCTTGACCAAAGTGGATTATGTGCATTTTCCAATCATAGACATAGACATGTGTTTTTTTAAATAGGCAGTGTTGCATGCCTATCGTTTCTCCAAAAGTCAACAATGTGTGACTTTATCAAACCTAGCAAAAGGATTTTCCATCCTTTGGTAGGAATACGTTAATTCCATGGGCTTTTCCTGGAGGAGTGAAAACTCTTACTGATGTCACTTTTTAAAAAATGATAATATGGTGAGGTTTTTATAAAAAGAATTATCCGTGATAACTTTAGTAGGGAAAGAGATGCTAGGAAGAGAAAAAAGGGTATGTTAAACCCCAAGGGATTGATAATATTTAGATCTCTGAAGCCAAGTCCCCATATTTTGGGCACATCGGGGCCTCAATCCTATTGGTTAACCCAAACTAAAGGAAGCCCTGTGAGTCAGTTGTTCAATGAGAAGTCATCATAGAGTTAAATCCCATTGATTCAGCGGAACCAATCTAGTTCAAGCTTCCAATAGGATTCAGGCCCCTGGTGTCCCCACCTTGTCCTTGGAGAAAAGGAAGGTGACCATAGAACTGCATTGGAGAGAGTCCTAAAAATCACATTTTGAATCGAATCCATGAATAATCAGATCTACAAAAGTCAAAACCACAAATGTGGAGGGATGACTGGAGGCAACTCCCATGTTTAAAGATCTATTTTTTTTTTATTTTTTTGGATAGATGAAGGCTGGCAAATGACACCTCTAGGAGAATCCCATGTCTCCTTTTTTTTGTATTAGGAGTGACTTGAGAAACTGCAAGTCGCTTCTGGTGTGAGAGAATTGGCAAGGACGTTACCCAGGGGACGCCCAGATGTTTTGATGTTTCCCATCCTTGTGGGAGGCTTCTCTCATGTCCCCAAGTCTCGATTTAAATGCTACTTTCCTACTAGCAGCCTAATACCTTGGTTAGGTTCCACATTGTGTAGTTTGAAAAACAAGACATTAAGTTCTCCTGAATGTTCTCCTCCCAAGTAATAAACTGCTATCTGAAAGAGTGAAGAGCTGGCAAACTGGTATGAAAAGCAACTGGCTTCATCTTGATTGGTCAGTGAGAATCTGGCTTTTGTTTGTTTTTTTTTTTTTGTTAGAGTAGGAGATCTGCGTGAGAGTGTATCATTTGGACACGTCTCGTCTCTGTCACAATCTACCTCAGAAGGAAAAATGAGAGCAATCACTTGCTTAAAAGCCCTTCCTATGGGAGGGGTGGAAGATGCTTCAGGGCTAGTTTTTGAGCAGTCTAAGATGCTGGGTTTTTTTTATGGATTGTTGTGGGCAACCAAGGTTTTTCCATTCCCTCCTTGAGGAACTGGTTGGAAAATAAGTGCTCTCTAGGAACGTTTTCACATTGGGCAATTCGCAGAGTGGTTCTTCACTGGCCTAGAGTTGTTGCAATTCACTTTTGGACTGTGGACCTGGACCACTGTGAGCCAGTTGCATCATTAAAATCTCATGCCTTTCTTCTCTTGCATCTCCATGAAGGGAAAGAGCAGAGCAGCATGCATTTCTGATGCTGCTTAAATGTTGTCAAAGACTCTCAGATGTTGTTCGACACTGTATGGAACAGTTGCACTGTATTTATGCTGTATCCCTAATTTCCTGTTCTGAAAAAAAACCCTACTCTTTCCCTTGCTCTGAGAACAAATGTGACATTTGGTATGTTAATAAATGCAAAAAATTAAAATAAAGTCTCATTTTCAGTGCTATATAGTTGACTTCATACAGTTACTGCATTGAGAATGGCTTATATGATGCAGTTATCATAAAAAATCAATATGCAGATTTGATAAATTTGGGTTTGGTATGTGTGGGTATGAATGGAAGTACGGAAGAATGAAGGAATGGGAGCTAATAATTTTGGAGACACCAGTAAAATATTAAGGCCTGTAATGACTAGACCTGCTTGCTGGAATGCGATTAAAAGTTGCTAATGAGAAGTGAAAAGTAAACTGTGATAAGAACTGTGACAATGGTTCTTTTAAGTTAGGGAAAAGTTATGAAGGAAGTCAACACAAGGCTAACACCAATCAAGAAGAGTCAACATCTGGCCAGGAAACTGAGATGGAGCCAGGATGGAAGACATCTATCATTAATTTACAGCATTGGGACTACATCAGCAGAATATTCCTATAAAAGACTATCTAATAATTCCCAAATTGTGGCAGAACGCAGGAGTCTGTTCCACCTGTTATGCTCTGTGGGAAAGACAGAGATGGTGTATTCGGAGGATGTCAGATATGGTATGGGAAAGCATGGTTCTGGTCACTTTGGCCGCCTTTCTCAAGGGAAGAGGAAGAAGTGCGATTTTGGAGTCTTGGATTCTGCAGTATGGAAAACAGAGATCTGGTCCTTGGCATTGTTCCTAGGGAATGAAGTTTTGGAATGTTGGCATTATGGAAGTTTTGGAACTGTGCATTGGCAGGCTGCAGGGAAGCAGGATCTGGCCTAAGAGATGTTCTTCTCCAGGGGACAGCAGGAGAATGGTGATGTATGCACGAGGATGGATGCATGTATATGTGGTGTGAATGTTGAGTAAAAATGTAATTCTCCTTTGTTTGTTTGTTAGCCATGTTTGTGAATCCAATGTAGTTGCATAGAACCTGTATGTATGTCTGTCCAATGTTCTTAGTGTAGTGTAAACGTTCTGATTCCCCTTTCTCTTACTGGAAATTGCAATAAAAAGAACCTATGCTTTAAGGTTATTGAAAAGTTATTCATGGCAGTTAAACATTTCTAAGCTCAAGAGTGAGTCAAGGCATCCTGTATAGGTGAAATAACTGCTTCAAGAGCTTTTCCAGACTAGCAACCAATTTTCCACCTACAACTTGAGTATGGGACTAAAACACATTTCTTCTAAACTTGCTTTAGAAATTAAACTTGTCATTGTGACTTCCAGTTCTCACTTTTGGTGATCCTAAGACTCACTGGGCTTTCTTTGAAATATTTGTTCAAAGGGTTGTAGAGGGTTTTTTTTACCTTCCTTAGGCTGAGAGAGAGTGACTTGCTTAAGGCTACCCAGTGGGTTTCCATGGTCAGAATGGGGATTCAAACTTTGGGATCCAGCGTTGTAGTCCAGTGTTCCAACTATACCAAGTTGGCTCTTAAATTAAGATTGCAGGCTACTAAATACAGACAGGCCCAGCATGCAGTGCAACATGGTGAAAAAGGATCAAACAACTATTGAGACGTTAGATGTGTCCTTTCAGAGAGAAACCTGAAGGATAAGTTGGTCATCACACTGTGGTGTGCTCTGAAAGGCTGAAAGAGGTCCAACCATGAACTCCCTACCAGGGGCTTCAAACCGAAGTAGAAAAAAGGTGGCTATATCCTTTGGCACGGCTTCGCAAATGCCCTTGCCCAAAACAAAGCCCAGCAGGCCTTAGGAATGCTTACAAAGGTTTATTGACTCGTGCCTGGAAACACCTATATAATACTGTTTCAGACATCGTTATTACAACAGCCAACATACAAAACCCACCCTGGGTTTCATCCTGACCCATGATTGTCTTTGGAGTTAAAGGTTTGTCCAAGGGAGAGAAGGGTTAGAAGGGGATGCCCCATACTGAGCTTGGTTTTCCTTCCGGCCTTCAAGACAGTGGAAGAAAGTAGCTTCGGGAATTAAGTATTAGCTTATTCTTTACAAAACACAAAAATATACAGTGCAAATCGAGGGACAGCTGGATTAGTTAGCAACACAGCCAAAGAATCGTGCCTTGACTTCAGACCTTACAGAGATGTATGGATATTTGTTCCCAGAAGCAAGCTTGGCTTGGTGCTCCTCTATGTCATATCCTTAGGCTACATGGAGGAACAAAGTTTAAGATTGCAGTGAGAGTAAAGGAACTGACTTGTAACGCTAGCTTGCCTAAGTTGGATCTCTCATGAACTAGCCCCAAAAAGCTGCACAGAGATTTGCTCCTTTGAGTAGTTAGTGGTCTGGCAAGTGGAGAGACTCGAACTTCCCTTTCACCAAAAATGAGGTCAGGATTTCTCATCAAAAATAATTGGGGGCAATGTTCTTGGGGACTTAAACTGGCCGAGCACCTCTTAACCAGGGTTATATTTGCTTGGGTGTTACACAAGGAGGTACCTGGCGTCTCCTTACACATTGCTTTCCCCTTGGCATCTATATGGTACCTAGGCACCAATTCCTCCAGAACCAGAAAGCCAGAGATTAGAGTATAGTTGAAGGGAAAGGAGCAGCCCTTGGCCTCTAGAATACATAACAGCCCTTGGCCTCTAGAATACATAGCAGCCCTTGGCCTCTAGATGGAGCTTTGCACTCTGCCAGCATCAGATTGGGTCTATGTACTTCACAGGTTAGCCTATTGTTAGACCTTTTTTTAGTAGACCCATTGCATCAGTTGAGTTTCTCTACATCTTGATTCACCCTTTAAGTCAGCCTGCTGCCCTCAGAGCTCTCATCTCTCCATCTTAAGGTATTTTCTGGGTCTCTACCAATGGGCATTGTAGTGCAACATCTGGAGGGCCACACATTCCCCTGCCCTAGCTTTGGATTTGTCAGAAACAACTTGCCTTATCCCACCTGGAAATAACTAGATTTATTCTGAGCCACCTCTCTGGTTACCTTGCAACAGTCTTTTCTGCTTGAGGATAGCAGGGGAAATGAGAAAATGGGAGCAGTGGCAGGGAAGTGTGGCCTTCTTTGATGGCTCAGATTGAATTGAGGAGAAAAAGGAGAAGACAGTCAGGTTGCAATGCTCTCACATTTGAGGTAAAGACCTCCAGCTCCCCCCATGCTCATGTTTCCAACCAAGAAACGATGGCACTTGGTCACTCCCCTCTTCATTTTATTGCTGACGATCCCTGCACAACGAGTTGTAGGGGGAGAGCCCAGGAATCAGGGAGGAGGCCAAACAAGGACATCCTGACTAACAGAACATCGCTTTTGTCAAAAAGAATTATTGCTTTGATATATCTCCCTTTCCCAGCTGGAATGCAGTGAAGAAGATCCCCAAGTTTTAACAGTTCCAGGAAGTTACACTTACACCTAACATAATATAAGCATTGTTTGTAGAAGGTAGTCAGAGTGTTAGATTATCTCGCCTGGTCTACATCCAGAATCAACCAGAGGTGACCCATGGAAGCAACGGATTTTAAAATTTCACTTACCATTCGCCAACTACTTTAGTGGGTTAACTCTAGTTGGATTGAGGCATTTGAGGGCAATGTGATGACCCTCCAACTGTGGTTAGACTTCATCTCCCAACAGTATGAAGCCAAAACTACACCCGGCTTGCTACCCTCCCCAAGCTATGCCTTCAATGCCCTCCACCCCAATGTCCCTGGCAGGAATCAGAACAGCAGCAGGCTTTGGCAGAAGCAGAACTAGACATCTCTTCTCCCAAAGAATTCCAGGAGGAGTTCTTCTGCCAGGCTACACTAGATGGCCAAGTGAAGTAAGAAGTTGTTATTGCAGAAGAGAAGTAGCTCCGAGTCAGCTAGGCCTAAATAATGGTTTGAGAGCGCTGGCGCAGGCCTGGGGCTGGCAATGGGGGGCTGAGCATCTCATCGTCCCCTTGCCAAGGAAACTGCTGCTCTTCCTTCCGGGCATGCTCTTCATACCATTCCTGTGCAAAGAGAGGAAGAGAGGCATGGGGATCATTGCACTTCCAGCAACAATCTGGTTCTCAGAGCACCAATTGTGTGTTCATAGACCTCCAAAAACTCACCAGGGCCATTGAAGCACGAAAAGTACCAGGCTATGAACAATGACAACTGGGGTTTGCCTCAAAATGCCTCCCAACGTATATTCCCCCTCACTACTTTAGAGAGAGGTCTGGAAGGGATTTCCTGTTTGAGAAATACTTCCCTTGGGCAAAAGGTGGCACCAAAGGCCATACACATAGTGACAACTGATGGCAGAAAGCTTGAGTTTGGATTCTTGGACAATCAAGGACACACTTGCTGAAAGTAAAGGGATGGAGGGGCCCCGGAAATGTGGCTAGAACAGCCAAAACACATCATGCCATTATGGGTGCTTTCAGCTTCACATCGCCTATTTCTATTGCGTTTTAACTTTTGTGTTCATGTATTTTAGGATATGTATGTTTGAATATGTGTTTTCACAAATGTCTTTGACTATGTCGTCCCCCGCCTCAAGCCAAAAGGAGAGGCAGGTAATACATAAAATTGTTGTTGTTGTTGTTGTTACCTGTATCTCTTCCTCATACATCTTCATACTTAAATCGCTTTTGGTCCTCGAGCGCCGCCCCGAGAATAGCATAGATGTTTGCTAAAGGAAAAAGAGGCAGACAATTCAGAGAATGGGATGATGCAACCTCAGACTGGTCCCAGGGGTAAGAAACAAAGGATCACGGCCCATAGCTTTCCCTTTAAGGGGAAGAAGTATACTTGGATGGTTACAGAAATAGTTGAGAAGCAATCCTGAGAGCAGCCATACTGACGCAGGACAGAAAAAAGTACTCACCTGGTGCCGGTCCATCTGGGAGACGATCCTGAGCAGTTGGCCGGCAGCCGAAGCACTGCTGGATCTTCCGTACATCTCTGCTACGGCTGTGACTTCTTCCTTGGAGACTTCCCTCTCTAATACAATGCCACTATCTTCTGCAGAGGAGAAAGACATTAGGCAGGGAGGGATGAGGAGGCAACAGAAGCAGGCCATTTGCTGCCCCTAACCCCCCCCCCCCCAAACCTCGTCCTAAACCCACTAAAGAAAACAATAGTGGCCAAGATGTTGCATCCTGAAGTTATTCTGGGAGAACAGCAGGGTGGAAATAAGTGCAAGAAATATATATGCCCCTCAGACCTTCGGAATCTCGATTCTTCCGGGTGTAGTTCATGCGGAACACAAAAGCCTCCAGTATGAAGGCGACAATGATGGTCATCACAACCTGAGAATGGGAAAAGAATGGGGAAAAGGTAGCTCATCAGCATCAGGTGTTTTATTTATGTCTTTCCGAATGATTTTTAGAGGTGTTTTCAACCACTGTTATTTGAAAAATTAAGGCTTTGTATACTGTGTTGTCGAAGGCTTTCATGGCCGGAATCACTGGGTTTCTGTGAGTTTTCTGGGTTGTATGGCCATGTTCCTGAAGCATTCTCTCCTGACATTTTGTCCACATCTATGGCAGGCATCCTCAAAGGTTGCGAGGTTTGTTGGAAACTATGCAAGTGAAGTTTATATATTTGTGGATTAATGACCAGGGTGGGAGAAAGAACTCTTGTCTGTTGGAGGAAAGTGTGAATGTTGCAATTAATCACCTTGAAATCCACATGAAGCAGGTGGACAATTTCAACAGAAAGGAGGAAACCATGAAACTGAACAAAATCTGGCTACCAGTATTTAAAAAAAACTCTAAAATCAGGACAGTAAATAAAGAGCAACACTCCGAAAACAGGAGAATTCCAGAGACATGAAACAATCAGGGCCAGCTAACACTTCCCAACAAAGGATTCCCCCAGGCAGGAATCAGCCACGCTTTGAAGCTGCAAGGCTATTCAGTGCTAATCAAGGTGATTAATTGCAACATTCACACTTGCCTCCAACAGACAAAAGTTCTTTCTCCCACTCTGTACCTTCCACAGATATATAAAGCCCACTTGCCTAGTTTCCAACAAACCTCACAACCTCTGAGGATGCCTGCCATAGATGTGGGCAAAACATCAGGAAAGAATGCACCTGGAACATGGCCAGACAGCCCGGAAAACTTATAACAACCCAGATTTGTATATTGCTATCCACACAAGGCTTAGGAGATGGGACAGTGTGTGCATATGTGCCTTCCAGAAGCCTATCAACGTACAGCAACTTCATGAATTTCATGGGATCTTGAAAGAAATAAATCTTCAGAGGTGCTCTGGCCAGTTTCTTCCTATGAAATATATTCCACAGCTTCAAGCTTTCATTGGCATTCTCCCACCAAGGAACAGGTTATCACCAAATCCTAAAGGAGAGTTGGGATGGTACACCAAACAGAAAAGGGCAGTCCAAATCGAAACAGACACACAGAATCACTGGCAGAATCCCTTACTTTACAAAATGTCAACATTGTAAACAGCTCACCATGGTCACGATGTAAAAAATCATGAAGTAGAGGCGGCTCCAGTGCGAAGTCTCGGACGTCACCCCTTCCTGGAAAGGCAATAATAATAGTAGTAATAAGAACAGGAAATAATAATAATAATAATAACAACAATAACAATAATACTTCCGCCCCTCCAGAGGAACAGTGGACATAATCTTCACTACACGACAGCTCCAATAAAAATGCAGGGAACAAAATCAACCTCTGTACATGGCATTCATTGACTTTGCAAAGACATTCGACACAGTGAATCGCAGCGCTCTCTGGACCATCCCCCCAAAAATTGGATGCCCTAACAAATTTGTGAACATTCTGCGGCTCCTCCATGATAACATGATGGCAACAGTCTTGGACAGCAATGGCTCCCAAAGTGACCCATTTAAGGTGGAATCAGGTGTCAAACAGGGATGTGTTTCACAATCTTATTTTCCACCTTCATCGCTATGATACTTCATCTTGTTGATGGGAAGCTTCTCAACAGAGTGGAAATCTTCTACTGGACAGATGGCAAGCTATTTAATTTCAGCAGATTGAAAGCCAAAACCAAGGTCACAACATCATCTGTTATAGAACTCCAATAACAGATGACAACGTCGTCTGTGTACATTCAGAAGAAGACATACAAAGCCAATCTAAACACCTTTGCAGAAGCATACAAGAAGTTCGGCCTGTCATTGAACATCGAGAAAACCAGTGTTCTTCCAGCAGTCACCAGGCAACCCCTCTCCAATGCCAGAGATACAGCTTAATGGTGTAACATTAGAAAATGTTGATCATTTCCGCTACCCTGGCAGCCACCTCTCCAACAAAGTCAACATCGACACCGAAATACAACACCGCCTGAGCTCTGCGAGTGCAGCATTTTTCCGAATGAAGCAGAGAGTGTTTGAGGATCAGGACATTTGTAGGGATACCAAGATGCTTGATTATAAAGCTATTGTCCTCCCAACCCTGCTATATGCCTGCGAAACGTGGACTGTCTACAGACGTCACATGCAACTCCTGGAACAATTTCATCAGCATTGCCTCCGAAAAATCCTGCAAATCTCTTGGGAAGACAGGCAGACAAATGTCAGTGTGCTGGAAGAAGCAAAGACCACCAGCACTGAAGCGATACTCCTATGCCACCAAATCCGCTGGACGGGCCACGTGTCCAAATGCCCAACCACCGTCTCCCAAAGCAGTTACTATACTCCCAACTCAAGAACCGGAAACTTAACGTTGGTGGACAGGAAAAGAGATTTAAATATGGACTTAAAGCCAACTTTAACAATTTTGGCATAGACACCGAGAACTGGGAAGCCCTGGTCCTTGAGCACTCTAACTGGAGGTCAACTGTGACCAGCAGTGCTGCAGAATTCGAAGCAGTACGAATAGAGGGAGAAAGGGAGAAACGTGCCAAGAAGAAGGCGCATCAAGCCAAACTTGACCAGGACCACCTTCCCAGAAACTGATGTTCTCACTGCGGGAGAATGTGTGGATCAAGAATAGGGCTCCACAGCCACCTATGAACCCACCGCCAAGACACCTGACTTGGAGGACCATTATCCTTGGGCTATGAGGGATCGCCTAAGTAAGTAAAAAAGTAATCATACTACTCTTTATTTGTATACTGCCCTATCTCCCCAAGGGGACTCAGGGCGGTTTCCAACATGTAAGGCAAACATTCAATTACCAGAAAGAAACCATACAGGCAATTATATCAAAATAAACACATTCGACAATATAACTCAGCCTAATTAAACGACAGACAAAATAAAACATCAAAAATACAAAACATTCTGCTAAAACACATTAAAGTTAAAAAATATTTAAAAACCCATTTCATTGTAGCTCTATCAGTAGAGGTTCAACAAAACCAATGGCCAGGGTTACTAAATGGATGTGGGCCAACTATAACAGGGCTGGGCATGGGATAGTGCAAATAGCAACAGATAGTGCAAGGGAAATGGTTTGGAGTGGGAGGATTGTTGGGGGATCCCTTCAGGCCTTGTCACCCCAATGCCAAAAAATGGCACAGAAGGATGGGTCACACTGTGTGTTTTCCACTGGCTGCTACCTTCTTCAAGTTTTAACCAGAGATGCTGAAAACTGAAGCCAGGACTTATCAAAAGCAAACTGCTGCCAGTAACAGGCCATGGTTCCTCCCCACATCATCATGTAACACTTAGGCTTGCATGCCTTTGTAAACCTAGGAGCTGCACAAAATAGCTTTGGGAGGCTGCATGGCCCTAGACAGACAACTGTCATGTAAACCAGCTTCCTGGGTTCCCACGACCAATGTGGGGCTGGCAAACTGTGGCCCATCATGTTGGTGAACAACTTACCATGATGATGTACCAGTCATTGACAACCGTCAGTTCAAACAGGGTAACTGTGTAAAGGAAATTAGGAGGGGGCAGAGGAGGAAGGAGAGGAAAGAGAAAAATATATCTCTGTGATACAAAGACAGTGGAAACTGAGACACATGGATTGTGATATTTCCTCTGTTGAGATGTACAACACAACTTTTAAAATTCTAATTTTTACACCAAAGAAATTGGAAGCATTTTAGATTTATTATCATCTGGCTGTTAAAGTTCCCTCATATTTCAGCAAAAGTTGCGTGTTTCTCTGTGGCAGCAATGGCATGTTAGCATCAGAGGCTGACACAGTAGCTGGGATCCTTAGGAGATCTACGCATGTTATGTACCTACATCTTTAACTCCTTATTTTTATAATTACCATCATCATCATCATCACTACTACTCCTACTCCTACTACAACTACATTTTTACCTCTACATTATTATTATAATTGTTATTGTTGTTGTTTTTGTTGTTGTTACATCTTTATTATTATTACATTACACTGCCCCCAGTGGCACAGTGGGTTCAACCACTGAGCTGCTGAACTTGCTGACCGAAAGGTTGCAGGTTTGAATCCGGGGAGCAGCGTGAGCTCCCGCTATTAGCCCCACCTTCTGCCAACCTAGCAGTTGGCCCAATTTTATCGTTGGTGGGGTTCAGAATGCTCTTTGATTGTAGGTAAACTATAAATCCCTGAACGGTTTGGGGCCATCCTACCTGCGTGACCGCATCTCCGTTTATGAACCCACGCGTTCACTTCGTTCATCCGGAAAGGCCCTGCTCATGATTCCGCCCGCGTCGCAAGCGTGTTTGGTGGGGACACGAGACAGGGCCTTTTCTGTGGTGGCCCCCTTGACTGTGGAACACCCTCCCCAAAGATCTTAGACAGACCCCTACATTGGCAGTCTTCAGAAAGAACTTGAAGACCTGGCTGTTCCGATGTGCCTTTCCAGAATAGGAAATCTCCAATACCAAGTCCCAGAAGCACTTTATTAGAATTAAGATTGCCGCACTCTGCACACTGCACTTACCCTATAATCCTTATATACCACCTGTCACATCAGCACTTTTAATTCTGTACCCATTACTCTGGCCCGGCCCAGTTTTATTGTGTCTTAGTGTATTGTTTATTGCTTGTTGTTTATATTGCTTTAATTGTTTTTAATTTGCTTTAGGTTTTGTATTCTTATGTTGTGTATTAAGGCCTTGGCCTTTGTAAGCTGCATCGAGTCCTTCGGGAGATGCTAGCGGGGTACAAATAAAGTTAATAATAATAATAATAATAATTAATAACTACAACTCCCAAATGTCAATGTCTACTTTCCTCAAGCTCCACCAGTGTTCACATTTGGGCATATTGAGCCTATCAGTTCAAAAGCATGCAAATGTGAATAGATCAATAGGTACTGCTCCGGTGGGAAGGTAACGGCGCTCCATGCAGTCATGCCGGCCACATGACCTTGGAGATGTCTATGGACATGCCGACTCTTCGGCTTAGAAATGGAAATGAGCACCAACCCCCAGAGTTGGAGATGTCTGGACTTAATGTCAGGGGAAAATCTTTACCTTTACTATTACATCTCTACTTCCATGTTACATTATTATTATTATTATTATTACATCTTTATCTTCCCATTATATTATTATTATTACAAGTTTACCTGCCTCCACATCATCATTATCATTATCATTACATCTTTGCCTCCACAAACATGGCTGGATGCATCTCCACTCCCCAAAAAACAACCTCCTCCATCAGAATTATAGAAAAATGCTTCCGCCAAAAGAATGATGCCATGACGGTGAATAACTGATACATCTGCAGAACATATGCCAATCCAGCTGCTGTTAGACTACAGTTCTCATCAGCCCTAGCCAACATGGTCAGCAGTGAGGGATGATGGAAGATGCAATGTAACATCTGGAGGGCCACCGACTCTCCACCAATGTGCTAGAGACAGAAAGTGGGGGAGAGGCCAGAAGAAGTGTATGGCAGGTCTCACACACACTGTACCTCACACCCAACAGGAATTTCCCACATATGCTCATATACACTTGTTAAAGCAGCAGGAGCAATTGTCAATTTCAGCCATTACCGAAGCTGTTCAAAACGTTGTCGAAGTTGTTGAGATAGTAGTAGCCCTCTTCCATCACTGTCTTGTTCCCAATGGTGTGGTTCACCCAGCGGTAGGCATCAGCCACTGTGCTGGCACTGAAGAGGAAAGCAGGGACAAAATGGCCAACAATTTATTTATTTAGGGAATTTCTATGCCGCCTTTCTCCCGGTGGACCCAAGGTGGCTCCCAACATCATTAAAATATACAAAGTAACATAAAACCATAAAACCTATTAGCTAAAACAGACCATGACATTTGTGTAATGCTCCATAGCATCATCCATCTTGTAAACAGTTAAATTAAATTACATTTAAATCCTGCTAAGATTCCCACGTGCCCATAAAGTGCTAGGACTTGGTTAAAATTCAATTAAGGGCTGTTTCAAACAGGAAGGTCTTCCATGACAATGAGGTCATGGAAGTAGATGGATGACGCAGAGCCTCCGTGCTCAGTTAAGGGTTACAGAGGCGGAGTCATCTATGCGGTGCCATTAGGCCTCAGTGTGCATTCAGTTGGGAAATGTCAGCAGACTCTAAACGCCAGTGCCAAGAGGAGCTCAACTTATACCTGCTTTTCCAAAGGGAAGAAAGGGAAAGCGGATATACTCACTTGCAACAGTTTGGGTAGAGTTTTCCTGAGAAGAACTCCATGCCAATGATGGCAAAACAGTAATAGAAGATGAGCAAGGTTAAACCTAGGCTGGAGAAACAAAATGGAGAGCCATTATGGCCTTCTTCAAGCATTTACAGTGTTTAACTTAGTGCTGTTTTCAGTTAGATAGTTTATTTAACAGACGACTGGGAGTATAAGATGACCCCCACATTTTCCAGTTGAAATATAGAGTTTGGGATATATTCACCATACAAGACTACCCCTCTTCCGTAGCCGGCTCTTAGGCTTAGAAATGAAGGTGAGCACCAACCCCCAGAGTTGGACACAACTGCAGGGGAAAACATTTACCTTACCTAGAGTGAGCCCAGGGCCAGATCCAACGTCCTTTCCCCAACAGCAACAACAATAACAGAACCCTAGAGTTGGACGGGACTCCAATGGCAGCCAGTCTAACCCTAATTCTGCCAGACAGAAACACACATCGGGATGATAGGTGGCCATCCTGCTTTGCTTAATAAAGACCATAATAACAACCACAGGAATATTGTGTTCAATTCTGGGCTCCACAATTGGCTCCACAATTGACGAGAGACATTGGCAAGCTGGAATGTGTCCAGAGGAGGGCGACTAAAATGATCAATGTTCTGGAGAACAAGCCCTATGTGGAGCGGCTTCAAGAGCTGGGCATGTTTAGCCTGAAGATGAGAAGGCTGAGAGGAGACATGATAGCCATGTATAAACATGTGAGGGGAAGTCACAGGGAAGAGAACGCAAGCTTGTTTTCTGCTGCCCTGGAGACTYGGACACAAAGGAACAATGGCTTCAAACTACAAGAAAGGAGATTCCATCTGAACTTTAGGAAGAACTTCCTGACTGTGAGAGACGTTCAACAGTGGAACTCTCTGCACCCAAGTGTGGTGGAGGCTCCTTCTTTAAACAGAGGCTGGATGGCCATCTGTCGGGGGTGCTTTGAATGTAATTTTCATGCTTCTTGGCAGGGAGTTGGGCTGGATCGCCCATGAGGTGTCTTCCAACTCATATGATTCTATGATTCAAAGCAGGGACATCTTCGGTCCATCCTCTGTTCGGATATCAGATAGCAAGGAAATGCCTTAAATCAAGAAATAGCTTACTAAGATCTACAGAGATACTCACWAGGATACCTCAGCAAGCAAGAGTCCAAAAGTGGCAGGCTAAAACKCAGAGCCTCGATCCATGCTGATACCGAATGAGAAACTCCTTTCTGGGCACAAGGAAYACTGGGCGACTTGGAAGGCACTGAACAGACTGCGCTCTGGCACCACGAGAGGCAGAGCCAATCTGAAGAAATGGGGCCACAAAGTGGAGACCACGACATGCGAGTGTGGAGAACAGCAAACCACAGGCCACCTACTACAATGCAGCCTGAGCTCTTCCACATGCACGATGGAGGACCTTCCCACAGCAACACCAAAGGTACTCCAACTGGCCAGCTTCTGGTCAAAGGACATTTAGTGTAATGCCAAGTTTTTAGCTCTGTTTGTGTCTTTCTTAATACATTATAATTGTACTGCTTCTGACATTATAAATACAGTCTATGGTCCCCATCTCACCACCATAGAATGGCAGTGCCATGTTGGCTGTTCCTTTAAAAGCCCTGTTTACGCAAGCATTCACTGGCTTGCACAACATGGTTATTTTAAGCCTTCCCCATTAGAGCCAGCTTTCTGTAACCATGGATTCAATCAAGTAGCGGATGTACAAGGAAGATTGCTAGGTGACTCACCTGTTTCCATCTTTCTTCGAGTGGTCCTCTGAAGATTTTTATTTATAAAAATAAAACTAGATGGAAAAATAATGACATTGGTCATCTCGACCTAATTGGTTTTCTTGACCTAATACAGGTCAAGATAAATTAATACGAAAACTTTTTAAGAACATAGATAATTATTATGAGGGGTATGTCATCATTATGGGAGACTTTAATTTTGATTTCAGAAAGAAAAGTAATGTGAATTTGAAAAGGTGGACTTAAAAATGTTTATGATATGACACAAGATAAACAGCAACCAACCTTCTACTCAAATAGGCATAAGAAATATACCACAATCGATCACATATTGTTAAAAGAGAACTTCATTATAGAAATAAAGTTCTCTTTTAACAATATGTGATTGTGGTATATTTCTTATGCCTATTTGAGTAGATATGATCTGGCTCTCTGACCACGCCATGGTGATGATCAATTTTGAGATAAATAGGAATAAGTGGATAAGACTTGGAAGTATAAGGATATAGTTTGGAAGGATTTGAAAAGTAGAGAATATGTGAAAGATCAGATTAAAAATTTCTTCCAAGATAATAATGGTTCGGCCAGCATACAAACTGTTTGGGACACTTCAAATGCGTTCTTTAGAGGATTATGCATAGCTAGAGAAATAGGTTATGAGAGAAATAGGAGGATGGTTAGGGAGCAGAAATTGAAGGAAATTACTCTATGTCAGAGAGAAATCCAGCAGAAAGTCAAGGAGAAGGCAGCTAGATTAGCCCAATTGAAAAGGGAATTAGCAGAGATTGATGCTTTGGAGTTGTGGAAAGTTGCTGTAATGGTTAAAAATGATTACCAACGAAATAATATCCAATCTATGAAGAGATTGGCTAATTACTTTAAAAAAAAAAAGAAAGGAGAAGAGAGGAGTGGGACAGATAAGAAATAAGCAAAAAAAAAAAGTAATGGGGACAGGAAAAATACTACAGGTTTTTGCAAGTTATTATAAAGAATTATATGGAAAAAAACACTGAAAAGATGGGAAGAAGAGATAAACATAAAGTTGAACCCCAGGGAGGCAGAGTCAATGGCAGAAGAAATCACTCAGGAGGAAATTTAAAAAGTGATAGGGGAGCTGAAAGTTAATAAGGCCCCAGGTGTTGATGGATTCACAGGTCAATTCTATAAGGAAATGTGGGAAGTGTTAATACTACAATTACAAATATTGTTTAACCACATAACGAGAGGGGGCCTACCACCTGATTCTTGGAAACAGGCAGAAATACTGACAATTTTAAAAGAGGGGAAGGACCCATTTGAGGTAACGTCCTATAGACTAATAAGTCTGATGAGCCAAGATTATAAAATTTTCACAAAAATCTTGGCGAGAAGGTTGGAGAAGCTCCTTCCAAAATTAGTTAAGGAGAACCAATATGGTTTTGTTAAAGGAAGGAGTATCAGCCACCCATTAAGAAACATAGTGTATATAATAGGAATTAAGGAAAAGAAGGAATGGACTATGATAAAACTTGATGTCTATAAAGCCTTTGACTCAGTAAATTATGAGTATTTGTATAGAGTGATAGATAAATATGGGTTCAACAGAGAGTTTATTAGGATGTTAGAGGAGCTGTATAGAGAGGCTGATGGGAGGATTAGGATAAATAATACTCTCAGAAAGAATACCAATACAAAGAGGAGTTAGGCAAGGATGCTCTCTATCACTTTTAATATTTACTTTAGTAATCGAGCCCTTAGCTGTTGTAGTAGAGTCTGTTGGCAACACTGCAACTGGTAGTAGGAGTGGTAGAGGAGGGAAACGAGGCGCTCAGGTGTTAGATGAAGAGCAGCAAAGGAAAAGAATTCGAGAGATACTTATGTCACCCACTGATGAAGAATCCTTTGAAGGTTTCTCCGAGAGTGAAATGAGTGAGGAGGAGGAAGGAGATTCAGATGGGAATAGAGGCATTAAGAGGGTTACTCGAGAGCAGGAGTCAGACGAGGAACGTCAGAGAAAGAAGATCCGGGACATACTTACTGCTCCCACAGAGGAAGAGGATTTCATGGGCTTTTCTGGGAATAATGGGTCTGAGGGTAGTGGGGATGAAGAGGAACCACTGGATTGGACCAAGGTTCAGGAGATTCGGAATGTGTGTACTCAACCAACGTCCAGTGACACTTTTGAGGGGTTTTCTGGTGGCGGGGATTGGCAATCTGGTGATACCATGGAATCGTGGGGAGACCTAAGTCTTGACAAGAGGTGGAAGAGTTGGAGAGATGGGCATTGGCGTTCAGCTGTAGAGGCTAAGCCAGCTGACAGTGATGAGGATGGGGTGGAGAGCAGCTCATCAACGGATGATGAGCTGTAAGATAAATGAAGGCACTGGAGTGATAGAACTTTGCAGTAGGCAAAGTGTTGGTTTCGTGCCTTGGGTCTTGTCGCTACCGCTTTCTTGTTGGGGTGGGTCCTGGATCTGCATATTGCTGCTTACTTCATGTACTGACTGGCTTGGATTCTCGTAAGTGCGGATTTCCCCTCTCCTTGAATTCGGACTGTTTTTGACGACGCTGCCTCTTGGACTTTGGAACTTTCAACTGGGATTTCTTTGACTTTGGACTGCTTCTGGACGACGGCTTTGCTTCACAGACCTTTGTTTGCTTACCCTTTATCTGCTGCTCTATTTTGGGTGATTTTCGACACTACTCAGTTTAATCCGGATTATATCTCTGTTTAATCCGGATTACTTCCTAAGTTGGTTTTTTGAGCTAATCTTTGCAGCTAATTTTGAGTTTTGACCAGAGACACTGAAGTAAGTGTCTCTGAGTCATTTTGTTTCTTTTGGACATACTCCTGAGTCTGGCTCTGTAAGGCTTCTGGGTTCTGACACTTAGCAGATAGAATAAGGAATAATGGAAGGACTAAAGGATATAGAATAGGGAAGGAGGAAACCAGAATTAATTTATTTGCGGATGACATATTAATTATAACAGAAAACCCTAGAGAAACCCTGGGAGAAATTAAAGTAATTTTGGAAGATTTTGAAAAAGTATCTGACCTGAAAATAAACTTAGCAAAATCAGAAATTCTAATCATGAATATGAATAAGAGAAAAATTAAGGAAATTCAGGAAGAGGGGATAATTAAGATAGCCAAGAGAAAGATTCGTTATTTGGGGATTCAGATAGCTAAGAGTGAGGATAAAATACAAGATAATAATTATAATGTGATTTGGAGGAGAATTAGAAGACAACTAAGAGGCTGGAAAGGGAAAAACCTATCAATCTCGAGGAGAATCAGAGCCCTAAAAATGTGTGTGATACCAAAAATGTTGTATTTGTT